TATACTTATGTTAGGTCGAATGACAGACGGTAGAAGTAAAAAATCCATTTTGTAAAACGGAAATCGGCCGATAGTCAACTGTGGAAAACGTCTACTTTTGTTGATCGTTTTAATTTCACTACATTTTCTTGCTTAAAATAATCTTTACTATATTGCTAAAATTTTGTATTAGTATTTTCAAGAGAATTTACATCGTCAGCGATCTTCGGTAGTGTCGGATTCGTCCACATTTCGACGAAGGATTTCTCAATTGCAATTTGTAGAGCCATAAAACCACTTAACACGTACGGATCTTCAACCATAAACATTGACAAAAATAATTTACATTTTTTACTACGGTACGTCCTTAAGATTAAAGTCAATATAAATAAGATTCTATCACATTTATGGATTACTGCAATAATTACACTACTAATTAAGAGATGATTTACAAGATTGTGAAAAATATTTTTTAAACGCAAAATTCCTCGGGAATAGAATTTCAAAGATCTTGAGTTAATTTGAAATTTAAAATATCAAGCTACAATCTAACGTCTATTTATCAAAAAATATATTTGATAAACACCTTTATGGGCAGGTTCTTTCTCGTGCATCATAATTATTCGATTCTCTCCTATTTCCGACGAGCGTATTTTATATTTTAAAACTTTTGGTTTACCAGATGCAAGTTTCTCGATCTCAAAGATCGCCCATAGTACCTTGGAAGTGTCATTTTTCGTGTAACGCAAATTCACGAGATTGATCTCGCTATCGGCTGCTTGAACTGATATGCAACATGTAGTTTTTATTCTATTTCTCGTTTTAAATATCTTCGAGATAATCTTACCATTCGTACGAAGCATTTTTGCGGCTTTCGACATCAACTCGTCTATAAATGCATTTTTTGGTGCATACCAGCAGTTCACGTCATTCGGCAATTTCGCCAGAATATCATCTCGATTGTATCGATCCAAATCCTTTGTATAAATAAATGTATAGGAAATATCACACATGTATTATATATAAAAAATGTTAGATTATTTATAATTTAGATAATTGTATGTATATAATTAAAAAGCAGCTTTAGTTGTAATTTTTAAATATTTAGCAAAAATATATGAATATATTTTTTATTGATTTAATTAATTAATTATTATTTATTACTTATTTATGCAATTTTATATCTAATAAAATTAATGTTTTGTAAACTATTTTGCATAATTTTGATATTATCTGAAAGATTAGAACTAAAATGTCGAGAAGCATAATATTAGATGTAATATCAATAAATATCATGAAAGATAATTGAGTTATATAACAGAATTACGTAATAAATTCAATTTGTGATACACAATTTTGCCAATACTACTTCAACTACCTGCGAATAAAGAGCATGCGGTTCAAATATCAAACGCATTTGTAGCGAGAAGATAATGGCTATAATAATTTCCAGTGCAGTGGTTATTGGATTATGCAGCCGCATAAGTACGGCTTTCCACATAAGAATCCGCCATCTCGTCCAGAATCTTTGTAATTTCGGATGCCCGACAATTTTTCTTATTCTCAACATCTTGTTTTTAGTCTCCTGATCAAATGTTTACTTGATTATAAATCGCGAGAGGAGAGGTTCAATTTCACACTCTATTTAGCACGGAGATAGAGAAAGCAGGGGTACATTTTCCGCGTTAAAAACTAAACGTTTCTTGACAACCGCTCCTTTGAAAGGATCGAAAGTTTTCTGCAAGATAAAACAAAGAACACGATATCAATCGGAAATTTACGTCGCAGCAGAGCAGACGCTGTTTTTTTGCCATTTAAATTATCAGCAAGACTTGTATATTTTTTTATTAAACTTATTTTTTAGATATTTAAATAAAATATATTCAAGCAAATTTTTTGATTAATATTACAAGATTAGTATAACAAAATTAGTATTTTATCTACATATTTTATTTAGATAAAAGTTAAATAAAATATTTTCAAGAAAATTTTTTTTTTTTTTTTTTAAGTAAAAAAGCGTGATACACATAATATGTTATTAGAGTTTCATTTTTTAAAATTTAATATAGCCGAAATTTTTCGGGGAGAAAAGAAAAGAAGAACGGCAGATTCTTAGGTGTCTACGATCGGCATTATAAATTCGCATATAAATGTCATGGCTACAAACTGTCAGATGACAGATGACATAGTTATCCTGTTAAAATAGCGTTTGACAAATTTCCGGATCCTTAAATAAACTGGCTGCCGCACTGACAACGTTTCGCGAGTAGGAAGGAAAGTGCTCGGTGAATATTACGGTTTGCTAAGGATTACGTCACGAAATCACAGGGCGTTCACCAGAATATTTACGTGCGGATATTTTTCTTTTATTTTCTCCCATTTCTATTCACTTAGTTTTATACTTTCTAACATTCTTTAAGAGATCGCAATAATCTCAATCTAAATTTTACTACTTTGGAAATGATTCTTTTTACTTTTTGCTGTGCAGTTAAATATGAAATTAGATTTATGTAATAAAAATTATAATGATGGTTAATAACGTGGTTGTGTGAGCGTGAAAAAGTTACAATTGTAAAGAGGCGTCATGTTTGGATATTCTGTAACAGAATAAAACTGAAGAATTTTATTTTTATTTATTATCACATTTATGTTTGACAGGATACATTTTTAACATCTATTTCAAGATGAAGAGTATTCAACGTATCTTCAAAGACATTAAATTGCACCGGCTATTTCTGGATCTATCTCTTCTATCAGCAAAAATAAGCTTGGCGATGATAATTGCAACTTTCAGAATGATTGTACCACGTTCCATGAAACGTTTACTAGGTGAAACCGTTCTCGTAAGTTTCCCTTTTCGAAACGAGCAGAAGTGATTGCAATGACTTTATGCACTATATATATATATACACGGAAATGATATTATTTGAACACTGAAATTAGATCACTGGAGCCGGTCACGGTATCGGCCGCGAGTTAGCCATCCAATTGTCATCGATGGGTTGTATAATAATTTGTTGGGACAATGATGTTGATAACAATCGATCAACGATGAGGGAAGTGTCGAAAAATGGCGGAGAAGTATATATTTAAATGCTTATTATATTTTAATTATTTATGCAATATAATAAAAATATCATATTAATAATTAACTTAATATAATATAATATTATTACGTTATATTAAGTAGTATCATATATTCTACTTTGTTATATCCTCTATACTTTTATTTTTAAATGTTTTTTTTTTATGGGCAAGAGAGACAATGTATCACACGAGCATTTTTAATCATGAAACGCATAGCTAAGATATGGGAGTCTTTAGGTTTACGGTTTTGTGGTCGACGTCTCACAGAGATTGGAAGTGCGAGAGACGGTGCGGTTGATGAGAAAAATTGGCGTGCCGGATGTGACGATACTCATTAACAATGCGGCTGTGTTATATCATAAGCCATATCTAAGTTTTGATCCGGATGATGTGGAGAAAACATTCAACGTTAATGTGCTTTCACATTTCTGGGTATGCATCTATTTTTTAATAATGGTAATACATTTATTTACAATCTCCCTTCGAGTTCAATCAATTTAAATAATTCCTGTTAGTATTTTTAAATTATTGGAATAGTACATTTTTTTCTCAAAATTAATAAAATATCTTTCTTTTCTCAAAATGTGTGTAAAATGTTTTATAATGATTTTTGTTTCAAATAGACGATAGAGGCATTTCTGCCTATGATGCTGCAGAAAAATAGCGGTCACATAGTAGCGATAAGTAGCATGTGCGGCATGTACGGGGTGTCGCAAAAAGTGGCATATTGCTCATCAAAGTTTGCCGTGAGAGGTATCTCGCATATATGATATTTCGTTCGCGGTATATTTTCCATGAATTTGATTTTCTTAGGTCTTATGGAGGCCCTACACGAGGAAGTGCGATTAGACGAGAGAAAATCTAACATTCATTTCACGACGATTTATCCGTTTTACGTGGACACCGGATTAGCGAAGGATCCCAAATATAGGTGAAAACGCATTTTGAGTCACCGGCAATAATAAATGCTACGTTTTGTAAGATGTTTTAGTGGAAGACGTGTGCGTAGAGATATGATACGACGCAATTGCAATATATCATTTATTGCACCACACGGTTGTACTCAACGCGTTATTAATTGGTCGAGTACTTTCTAATAGACAGTGTCTGATTTCGTGTCGATGCTTCCGCATTGCGTTTATGTCGATGCACAAGCGTGATAATTTGCGCCCGAACCGCGTCGCTTTATCAATCTTAACGTAGTCTAAATGCGCGCAAGATATAATTGATTAACATACGCTAAGTGAAACCGAGTCGTAAAAATTTAAAATTTAATTTAAAAAATTATATACTATTCTATACTTCACTATATCCGACGATTTTTAGCTTTTGTTCTTTTAAGATCATGAAATTAAAATTTTAAGGGGAAATATTTGATGTTATTTATATATAATGGAATTTTATTATATTATAATTTTACAGAGAAAAAAGAACTTAAAAATACTTTGTACTTGTATAAATTTAAGTTTCATTACATACTACAAAATTATCAAGCGGTTATATAACGATATCGATTATAGTGACTTGATTACTTCGCGGAAAGTTGACAAAGAAATTACTATACGAAGAATGATTTTCTTAATGAATATATTTGCAATATATATGATTTATATTTTTTTTATTACAATAACATTTTCTTGTGCCCGCTTCGTTAAATTACTTCTGTTCTTATGTGGTGAATTAGAAAGAAACTTTAATCCAGAATTAATTGCAGATTTCCTTATATCTTCAGCGTCGTGACGCCAGAATATGCTGCCCGAGAGATAATTAAAGCAATTCAAAGAAATTACACAGAGTACTCAATACCGCGGTGTCTCCTTTCATTGAACGCGATTAATAGGTATAGATAAAATAGATATATAAAATTGCGCCGAATGTATAAAAAATAATTTCTTTTTAATATGCGCATTGCTTCCGACAATTATTTAATAATATTTTTTTTTGCATAGCTTTGCAATTAATTTATAAATAATTATCTCTGATAGAAATTTTACACGATGATATGCCTTTTTTAATTTCGTTTCTTTTTCAGAATTGTTCCGGAAAGCGTAATGCGCTTGATACTAGATTTTTTAGCGGATGTCGATCGAAAACAAAGAGAAAAGGATGTAATGAATTTATAATTAGATTTAGAGTAAGCTTAGCTTAGAGGAATTGTATAAAGTGAAAATGCTTATATTTATTTATTAGATACAGACTTTACATAATCGTTAAAACAAGATGAATTTTATAGAGTAATAATTTATCATTAGATTAATAAATATTTTTATACAATTAATTTTATTTTTTATTATATATAAGCTATTCTTTATTTTGGTTTTAAGTTCGTTTAATGCAACTTAGTATTTCCGTGAACTTTCTTTCAAATTATAATTATTATAAAATATATCTTGTAAGATAGATTTTATACACATCTTAAAAAATTGATGATTTTTGATAATGGACATTTTTGATTTTTTCACGATGTTGTTGAATAATATAACTACAATCCTACAGTTATAAAAAGGTCAATGACTGACGTGGGACACATTAAAAGGAATAGCGTTCTTTTAGAAAGTAAACCAGACATATCAAATGCGCGGTCAGAGATACGAGTCATTATCGTCGAATTGCTGCTTATATAATTAATAACATCGGCCTCGATCAGCACTCGGCAATATACGAATCACCATATTTTTTTATCAATTTTCAACGGGATTGTACTTATCGTGTAATAAATCACATTGCCAAGTGTTCTATCCTTGTTTCACTTCTGTGATTTTTACAATTTTAATTGCAGATTTCTCGCCCGGTATATGATTTTACGCTGCCTAATTACGTATTACTTAGCGTCGCGAGTGCACTTAGAAATTTTTATTCGACTGCCATCTTAAACTGTGTGCAAAGCAAATTAAAAGAAAAATGTTTCCCTGTTTATACAGGGTGGCCCCGAACGTACCAGCCAGACTTTGAGATCTTATAAGAAATTTAATTCTGAACAAAAAGTTTCCTATAAACATGGGTCGAAAAATGCTTTCTTAAGAAGTTATCGCTCAAAAACCTCTGAAATCGTGATTATTTTACACATTTTTCCAAATATCATGGAAAATGTGCGTCTTTTAACAAAAAGTACCGAAACAAAAGTTGTAGAAAATTAAATTATCTTTCAAATGAGATCAAAATGATTGTTGTACGTTCCATAGATTTTGATATAACCAGTTTCAAACGTACAAAAAGTGCTTTTGTTACTTATTGTTAGATGCGCATACGGCGTCTTTTAACAAAAAGTTGAATCAGGAGGAAATCCGTAAAGCGACTAGATCGGTCATTACTCGATGCCGAAAGTGTATTGAAGCTAGGAGGGGACATTTTGAGAGCAGTTAGTTTTTTCACGTCTTTATTCATTTTCTACTATTACGTGCTATTCTAGTTTAAAGAAAGATAATTTAATTTTCTACAACTTTTGTTTCGGTACTTTTTGTTAAAAGACGCACATTTTCCATGATATTTGGAAAAATGTGTAAAATAATCACGATTTCAGAGGTTTTTGAGCGATAACTTCTTAAGGAAGCATTTTTCGACCCATGTTTATAGGAAATTTTTTGTTCAGAATTAAATTTTCTATAAGATCTCAAAGTCTGGCTGGAACGTTCAGGGCCACCCTGTATAGATACTTTATTTACATGGATACCTCATTCCTTGGTAAAATTCCAAGGCAATAATATGCGCATAAATAAAATATAATTCATGATTTTTTCGCTTTAATATCGTGGTTTTTTTCGCCATATGAAATATAACGTTAAAATAGTGGCAACTAATATATGACAAGTAACATGTATGTGACCTTAACTCAATGAGCGGACGTACCTTTCTTGAGATTTTATATTACGATTTTCTCACAAATGCCACATATTGAATTTATATAATTTATCTTTATTATTATAATTCTATGAAATAGGTTCTATTCTCTATATAAAATATGTAAAATAATTTATTAAAACATAAATGAACGAGGCATTACAATAAATATAATATTATGTAACATTTCATGCGATTGAGTTTCACTATAATCAATGTAATTTGTTGCAAAGTAAAGCGTATCTTAACGAGAAACACACTAATATTCGAGTAGCTTGTTAGTCAGCAACAGTCTTAAAGTCCGAAATTTTTCAGACAAATCCAGTTCTTTACTAGTATATCTTAGTTTCAATGCGAGTAACAAAACCCTTCATGCGCGAATTAATTTACAGACAAGACGATGCCGTGTAAGTAATATGGAGATTAGCCTTGAGATAATTCGGTTTCATTGTACTTCTTATACTTTTATGTTTTGTTACCTCATCGCGTTTCCAAGTATCATTAAAATACAAATAGATGACTTCTTGATAAAAGACAAGATTTATGATTGCACATTAAAAATTAAGAAATATGAAGAACTGTACATACTATTCTGTCTTAAATTATATAAATTTAAAACTAATATAAGTACTCTAATTTACTCTAAGAAAAAGTAAATGCATATTAACTAAAAAGTTGAATGCATTGAGTTGATTTTATGGAAGACAAGAAACATAAAAGCTATTTTGGTATGCGCGAGAAACGCTGGAAGGGCAGTGGCCTTGACTCAACGTAGTAAAAGAAACCGGATTAAAGATCTACAGAGTTGAAGAATCGGGATGTTTTTGTTCTTTTTCCACTATCCAGACAGTATAAAAAAATATCTAAAGGACGATCAGACATTTTTAAATTATTTTTATACATCTTTTGGAGACATGTGTTGTCTAAGTATAGATTATGCAGTCAATGTTTCCAAATTTACTTAATTTAGAGCCTTTTTATGATACAGTCATTCGTTATCGCATTAATCAGAGAAAACGTGTGATTAATATTGCCATACTACTGTGTAACTATTCTTATTTCCGTTAATATTTCAACATATTATTAAAGCAGTACAAGGTTAAAGCAACCTTTTATTGACCTTTCTGTATGAAATGTTTACTTCTCATAGAATTTATTGCAAAATTACATATTGTGATTAAATAAAAGCATGCTGATAACATTATAAATTCATATTATATAAAGTATTTGCAATTCAAAATGAGTTTCTTGCTTTATATGTATATGTACCAAAACAATTACTAAGTAGTAATTATTAAATAATAGTGTTATAATGCTATCGAAATTCTTCTCTGCATTGGAAATAATATATGCAATTGTAAACTCCACATATGTACAATTATAATTTTTAATAATCTTTTATAATCTTTTATAATTTTTATAGTTTTCTTCGACGTAAATGTATTGATTATATCTATATATATTGAGACGTTCAGAAGTTTGTGTACACATGCCACGTGTCTAGAATGGATAAGATATTGTCGCTTTAAGATATGATTAAACATGGGTTACTCTGTGATAGAAAGGTTACTGTCGTATATATTTATGAGTTTCTTGATTTTTCAGTAAACAGTTTTTTCTAAGAATTTTTTTTGTTTAAAGATTTACATTTTTTTTCTGTCTCTGAGCAATGAAAGTAAAAGATTTATAGCTATAATATATACGCTGCTATAATTTTTAAGAATAAAATTTCTTTTTTTTATCAAACCAAAAATGCCCTAATTAAAGCGATCTGTGGCCTGATCGAGATCGAAACTAGAGTGGAAAATCAAGTTCAGCTCAATATGATCGATGGATGGATGCATCATCGAGTGATGGCACTAAAGTTCAGGTTCGTGCGTCACACACACTCGAGTGAGGAAGAAAACGAAGATGACAAACAAGACGACGACCTTGCCTACACACTTTATTGCCGAGTTGGTTGCAGTGTTTCGTTCAGTCAAGTTCAAGCGAGTCGAGCGTTCTGACCGTTCGAGCGTTCTGACTATTGCCGCCGTCGTTGTTACATTCACCATTACGGTGGAATCGTTGCTCCCACGCGTTCCCTACCTTCACGAAACTGTCGAGGAACCTGGAGATTCAGGCTGATCCAGTGATCTACGCGTCTGACAGGGTAACGTTTCGCGCCAAGAGTGCATTTCCTCCTCACGCATGTATTTTTGTGTATAACGTGAAGCAAATTTTGAAGAATTGTTCAAACTAGTGTATCAAGATAGCCAAGCTGCATCTTCAGTAATATTAATCGTGTTTTAAAATTTAATTTGTGTTATCATAAAATAAGAAGTTGTGTTATGATAAAAACAAGAAGCTTAAAGTGCCTTGCATCTTTATTTTATCTTTTATTGATTTTCAAAGTATACTTTTTATTGTTATTTTTGGGCGAATCTTTGAGATCTAATATATCATTTTTCTGTTTTAATTTTCTAGCGCTCATTAAATTTTTATTAAAATTTCATGAAGATATGATACGATCTCAACACGAACTTGGAAATTAATATATTACAGTTTATTTAAATTGTATGCATTGTAATTGTGTATATTACAAGTAAAGTAATTTTTTTTTATGTATAAAGTTTGTAGAGAGTAATGCAGGTAATTTAAAGACCTGAAGATTATTGAAAAATTTATTATCTATGGAAAAAAACATTTGATATTTTTGATGATCTTTCACTGCTGATTCGACTGCATTTCTGCTGACATGACAAAATAAAATTACAGTTTAGTTACAGTTACGAAAAAGACATTTAACGGTTGTTGTAGTTTTAATTTCGACTACTAGATTAAAGAAAAATATTGGAACTGATCAAATTACGGTTTAATTTACTATGATTCTTTCAAGAATATTTTTTAGTCTCTCTGTTTCTTTAAATTATTGCGGAATATGAGAAAAACTGAAAAAAAGTCGTCGATTAAAAAAAATTTAATTGGTCTCACTGAAGAAGAGAAGAAGATTTAATTAATACAAATTCTAGTTTTATTCAAGGTGTCTAGTGCTTAAATTATTTCGTAATATCTTGGTGTCTTTAAATTTTTTTTTGCAGAAGATTCATAGCTCCATATAAAATCCCCATATTTTACTTAACATTGGAAACCGGTATTTTAATAAATTCTGAAGTCACTACATTAATAAATATGTAATTTCATAGTAATTTATAAGATGTAATTGTAATAATAATTATAATATATTAGTATAATTTTATATATTTATATATAGAGAGATATATACAATAATTTTACAGTAATATAATAATTATAATAAATAGCTATAATAATAAAATGCCATTTAGAAAATAAACATAAAAGCACAAAATTGCGCGATATATATTAGTCTTTACAATCTTGTTTCAAGGATACAAGGAAATCTTGGCGTGGCTTGCATGCCGAGAAACATATTACAACGGAAAATATATAGATGTTTACCTCGAATTGCCTCTTAGAACTAGTTCAATACTATTATCGGAATTATAGAGATTGTCAGTCAAAATTCAATCTAGATCTCGGTTTTTCTATTTTTTCCAGTTTTTCTGGATTATCTGTTAAGATTGCAGATCAGATCATACATTGCGATCGTATGTATGTATATGTATAGTAAAACTTTGAACCTGACGTAAGAGATCTAACTAAAGATGATTCTGCACAATTACACTTAAATGCATCATAAGATATGATCATCTGTCTATCACTGTACACAAATCAAATTCCCTCCATTTCAACCTCAATCAATAAAACGATAATATCGTGATTTCTTTAAAAAGAGTAAAGTCTCTTTGTACTTATTGTTAGTATATTTCGTTTTTTATCAGAGAGAAAGAATTGTATTGCAGTATGGGTTATTAAGATTTCCGAAAGTCACCGATTACAAT